TATTGGACTTCTGATAAAAAAAAATACTCAAAGGGTAATGTGTTATATAAGACCTATTGTAAGCGCTTGAAATTCAAAAGATAGTAGTTTCGCCATTCTTTTTCAAATTATCATATTATTATAATGTCATTTGCTATTAAGAAGGTGATAAGTTCTGCAATGCTATTTTAAATTCACTATGAGGCCATCAACATAATAAAATCAACAAATTTTACCAAAAAACTTTAATAAGCATGCAGTTTGATACTGTATCGTTTTTATTGTTTTACTTGTACATGTCTTCATATTTATTTACTATACCATTTAAAGTTGGGTGACGAATAAGGCCCTTATCGTACTTGCCCTTCAAAGCTTGGCGTACTGGATTGACATAACCTTTTGTGGGAGAATGTTCGTATGTTGATATATAAATGTCTTTTTTTATTATGATCATAGTATATGTATGTTTATAATCAGAGTACTTTTTTTTATGTTTTTTATACTGATAAATGGACTTACTTTTTAAGTCAACATTACACTTTTGCATTGATAGCAGCAATCGCAGGCGAGATACAGGGTTCCGCGGAACCCCTTACGATTTTTTTGCTATTAAGATATTTTTTACATGTATTCACAACTATGCTATATATTAAAGCTAGACTTGGGAGGATAACAAACTTAAAATAATGTAATGACATGTCCATTGTAAAAGACCGTATGTTGAACTTTAGAAGTATATTGGGTTTTTTTGTTGCTGTTTAATTGGGTTGCTTTCTAAATACATTATGTATACTCCACATCTCCTTTTGAATCATGCATAAATATTAAATATTGCTTAAAATATACTAGCATACATGTATAATTGCTTTACTCGTCTGAGGGTAGTTTTTTTTATTCTTCTTATATTCCCCTTTGGGAATTTTTTTGTCTTCTGTTCTTCAACGTCTGCTATCTTGATAAGGAAGAGCAAGGGAGAGCTAAACAACGTATCCCATAAAGATCTTGGGGTATGTGGAGGGGGCACTTATTACAATAAGTGGAAGAGATGAGTCGCTGGTAGAGAAATTTAGGTGAAATCTATAAGAAGGTTGATGATTGTGAATCTGAAACTAATCGTTAATGCTTAAGACATTTGTCAACTCTTATTTATCTCCCCATGAAAAGCGTAACAATGATACGAGCTATATGTAGGTATAATTAGTAAAAAAGTACGATAGCTATGGTATGTTCTTTTGTTGTTCAAAATATATGAAAAGAGTGGGGTGCTAGTCATCCCTACCACAAAAAGGTCGAAGTGCCACCGCCCCCTTAAATAAAGATTCCATTAATTGTAAACTAATATTAATTGAAAATACCGGTAAATGATTTGGATATCTCCGTGTTCAATGTTTTTGCTGCCTTTTGATTATCTTACGAAGAAAAATATCTATAACCAAAGAAAAAAAAGCATGCGCGGAGTTATCCTAATAAATAAAGTATGTTTTCTTGTATAAACTGTACGTGCGACTGGATTGAATGTGAAATAATCATGTGTGTGTCTTATTGGGGTTTTTAACGATCTTGACTGGCTATATATAAAGCCCTCGCACAGTCGATCACGTGTGTGTTTAGGAGTTTCGGCTATTTATAGATAAGTGTCACCTGTGTACCGATATGCATGATTGGTAAACAGGCAAAATCTAATTGCTAAAATAAAGAGTTCAAATCCGACACTCTACGGGATTAACAGACATTGACTAGGTTATGATTGTCCCAACCAATCAACGAACTTCACTATTATAGAGTCAGTAATTATCTTCCAATCAGACAGTAAGAAACATTCATCCCGCAGACTGTGCATCGTTCAACTCTTAAGACCGTCTCCGCGGAGACGGTAATAAAGGTACTCTAACAAGTTGCTTTCTTTAAAAAAAGAAATGCAATCGTGAACCTAAATGCCTGTTTGGAATGAAAGATCAGATGATTGTTTTATAAAAATGCATGATCTTACCTCATTACTTTTTTATATAAGATGTAGATAAACTGACATGGATTCTTAATGAAACTGGTGTTCTATGTTGGACATAATTTCTTGTTAAAGAAATAATTTCTCTTTCACCCATCCCTCAGTCACTTCCGATAGATAACATAACAACATGATAAATAAGAAGCAACCACTGTATGTTAATTCCTTTCTGATGTGCTATTTTGTGAATTAGAGGTAGCTTCCTGGCTGAAGTTGAAATGTAACAGTGAAAACAGTCTTTGTTGTAAAGAAGTTTAATGAAATGAATCATGATTTAATTTATTAGTTTTTGTAGCCAGTTTGAAAATAGTTCAAAACCCTAAGCCATATTCTTATTTGTTAATCCCGAACTAAAACCATTTTGGAAAACCAATTTCAATGGTTTGTATGGTTTGTTCATTGGCTATCATATTCAAGATATGCTTGATCTCATTTTATTTATAACCAAGGTAACAAACTCAAATCAGGTATGTAGAGTAGAAACAGTTTGACTGAACCTCAACTTTATACTTAAATCAGTTTGTTCAAACAAATCTCACTTTTTCATTTCATAGCTTGTCCTTTTGTAAATTAGCCAAACTATAATGAAATTGTTGATTTGTTGTTTTTATACGAGTGTATGACAGACAGAGAGAAGCAGGAATAACAGTGCCAATTCAGTATAGCTCATGTCCAGTACGCAATTTAAAATCATGTTTTTGCAATCGCATGTCCGTTGAATATGGATAATATTGATTTTAAGAAAACAAATATTTTGTTACTAAGTTGTGTTCTTATGAATACAAACGTTTTTGTATCGTCTAATTTGTAATGATATCGTCGTATTTTGTCGCCGAAAACGCTCTAAGTCTTTGTCATCTAGACCCTCTTAATTCGCTTATGAATACAGATTGCCTCGACTCCTTGAAAACAATTTGACGGAATTCCCAGAAATTTGCACTGGTTCACTTTAGGGTGGACATGCAGTTGTGCACCAGCTACTTCAACTTTAAATCTGATCTTTTTAAATTTATTATTTTTTTTTTGGGGGGGGGGTCTTCACACAAAAAAAACAAAAGAATTGACTATGCCATTTATAACTATATTTTTTAGAGAGAGTAGTCGACACATGTGCTTTGGAAAACTCGCACATTTTCCTATAAGAAATTAACATACGCATCTCTAATTTTATAAAATAATCTGGAATAGATAATATTCATCTTCCTGTTATTATAATTCTTTGGACAATTGCTAATATATTTTTGCAATCACATACCGTTAGTAACTTAAGTATAATAGTTTTCAATCCAAACATCGAAGAATAGATCAGACTTCATTTTTTTTTTACTTCATAGACCATAAGTTTTTAATAAATAGAGAGTCATCACCTCAACTCCAAAGAATATCACTCAGTGTCTGTAAATCGTTTCACATCTATAGAATTATTTTAAGAACTCAAACGCATATTCATTTATGAACTGTTTCAGTGTGACTTATAATTTCTGCATTTAACACACCTAAAAGGTGCCGTTAAATTTCGTCGTAATTTCCAGGGTTGACTAGTATTTTAAAATATGATTAATATAAAAAAAGAAGATGTGGTATGATTGCCAATGAGACAACTCTCCACAAGAGACCAAGTATGGTTTCTTTCTATAAAAAAGGAAGATGTGGTATGATAGCCAATGAGACAAATCTTCACCAGAGACCAAGTGACGTAGAAGTTAACAACTATTGTCACCGTACGGCCTTTAACAATGAACAAAACCCTTACCGCATGGTAAGCTACAAAATGACCCGAAATGACAAATGTAAAATAATTCATACGAGAAAACTAACTGCCTGATTTCATTGCGTTGTCTTTTATTCTAATTATTGCTTTTTATCCTTATTTATATTTTGATACAAATGTAGAGCCTTAATCAATATCAATAGAAATTCATTATCTTATCTCTGACTGTATCTATCATCACTCAGTCTTTATAAGAACTTATAAAAGACAGTCGTTATTTATATCTCTGACCCTGTATTAGCATTTCACTCCTGCTATAATAATGCATAATTTATGCATAATCAACTTTTCTATTATCCGTCATATCAGGCATCAAGTCCTGAAATTTAATTAATCTTTCAGAATCATCACATACCGCTAAAAATAGTTTAATAAGTTAAATGTTTCATGATTAAAAAATGAAATATTTCGTTGTAGTATCTCATACCTGCATTTTACACATCTCAACGATTCTTTAAGTAGATATAGGAAGATGTGGTATGAGTGCCAATGAGACAACTCTCCATCCAAGTTACAATTTATAAAAGTAAACCATTATAGGTCAAGGTACGGCCTTCAACACGGAGCATTGGCTCACACCGAACAGCAAGCTATAAAAGGCCCAAAAAAAATTACTAGTGTAAAACCATTCAAACGGAAAAACCAACGGTCTAATCTATATAAAAACGAGAAACGAGAAACACGTATGAACTACATAAACAGACGACAACTACTGTAATCAGATTCCTGACTTAGGACAGGTGCAAACATTTGCAGCGGGATTAAACGTTTTAATGGTACCAAACCTTCTCCCTTTTCTGAAACAATAGTATAACATCACAACATAGAAAAACACACTATAAAATATCAATTGGAAGGCTTAACTCAATCAAAAAAAAAAAAAATTTTACCTGTGACACCTGAATGCAAATACACAGTTAATTAAAAATTACAAGGGATAAATAATTAAAGTCAAAAGTAAATAAACAGGTTTAAACATAGTTAAAGTATGATATCAATGTGAAATGTCAAACAATTTTTAGAAAATCATCACTTTTGAAGAAGGCACTGGCTACGGTTACATGGAAATGTAACAATAATAAAAATATTATTGTTACATTGGAGACTAAATGCCGGAATGCATGGTTGGGTAAGGACCTGATTAATTACGAATGTAACAATAATTATTGAGGCTTCGGTTACATTGCGTTATTGTTACATGAAAAACAGCAATGTACGATGGGACTAGTAATATGTACTAAATAATAAAAGTTGAAGACATTTATTTTATATTTACAATACATACAATTATTACATACAATTTCTTTAATTTTTTATTTACAATGACATTTTCTACATATTCAGTAAGTGGTTTTTGGAGCATGTTTAAGTCCGATACATTTCTGTTGAAACCACTCTAAGCAGCCATCACACACCAGTGATGCCGCATTGTGAACGTCCGTATCGCATACCGTGCAGTTCCATTCTGCGATATCCCTTTTAGAAGATAAGGCAACCTTTAATGTTTGCCATGCTTCTGGTGAGAAATACTTTTTCACTCTAGCAATGTTGATATTCTCATCCAATATTTTGGTTGGAAGCATGTGGTGTAGTTTCATGTCGTCTTTCAATATGATCGCACTACCGTCCATTACGGATTTTAGGTTTACCTCACATTTCAGTATCCAACTTAGCATAGCTGAAAAAAAAAACAATAAATTAAATTATAAAAATGCAAATCAATTGTCGAAAGTTCATCAAGTACTAATAAATAGTGCCGTTGAATTATTTTCCATTTTTTTCCCATTTTTTTCTAACTGACAACGCCATGGCTAAAACGTAATAGGACAAACAGACAAATAACAGTACACAAGACACAACATAGAAAACTAAAGACTAAGCAACACGAACCCCATCAAAACTGAGGGGGGGGGGGGGATATTCACTGTCCCAATTTTTTTTAAAGTTATTTACCTTCTTCTTTTTCCTTTGGTCGTCTTTTAAGAAACGGCATGACTCTCTTCGTTCTTCTGGGCAATCCAACGACGGTCGTTTCTGCACCTTTCGGTCTTCCTCGGCGTATCATTTTAGGGGGGAGCTTATAGGAAGGTTCTGTCAGTAACGGGAAATCACCTGAAACAAATATAGTGCAAATTTAATATAAAATTTAAGAATTAAATATAGCTTATGTCCTCCATGGATACATGTATACAGAAGTTCACAGTATTTTTGTTCACAGTTAGCAAACTTTGCTATTGATGTATCAATTTTTTTTAGAACTGCGTTTGTATAGCTGTATGAAATTTGTGTCTTGATATTGTTTCAGTTTTGTTTCAAACGCATCCCAAGTTTTAAATTTTTCACCCAAAACAAAATTGGCAATAGGAATCTCTTCATCCATTGTTCAAAGTATAATAACAGTAATAAGTAGTAGGTGTGCAGTTAAATACTAAGAAGTGAACACTTTTCTCAGCCCGAGTTCTCAACAACAAACCATTGAACTATATTTTTCGCCTTTGGCACTACTAATCTGAAGTAGTATCTTTAAGAACATCAAAACCATTAATACGTAAAACTATTTAAACACCATTTGTTGAATAATCATATTTATTATTTATCATTATTACAAGTATTATTTAGTACATATGAAAGAATTAAGCAACAAAACTATAGAAGATTTAAGTTTAATAAATCTAGCGTACATTGCTGTTTTTCATGTAACAATAACGCAATGTAAACGTAGCCTCAATAATTATTGTTACATTCGTAATTAATCAAGTCCTTACCCAACCATGCATTCCGGCATTTAGTCTCCAATGTAACAATAGCACAAGGATATAGGGAAAACGGTACTATTTATTCTGCCATAGGCGACAATACTAACATTTTCTAAATTTACCACTTTTTATAATAAAAACCTGGATAAAACAGTTATGTGTGGTGTTAGTACTTTATTATTCTATTTTAAAAATTGAAGCCAAATAGTATCATGACCAATTTCCAACGGAGCTTGTTTATGTTATCCATGCCCACCGTCATTTTACACCAAATTTATGAAATTTTGGAAGCCTTTTCAAATAATTCTCTAGAAAATATTTCAATAGGTATAAAAATTTATATTGTAAATATACACACTGCAGTTATTCATAGATAAATAAAAAAATATATTGTACCCTTACATCCAATCACAGCGCTCCTAATTTGACTTCCTTCACCTGCCTTGGGTACACAAAAGGCCAACCTAATGCTGGGAAAATGTAATAGTACCGTTTTCCCTAAAAGCTTATGTGAACGGTTACTGCCAGTCACCACTTATAAAAAAGTAGTGCTGCATATACCTACGCGTATTATCATATACAATATCATAGGTGCCTGCAGGTCACCATAGTTCATCTGTATCAAATGTGCCTGCAGGTCTCACCAAAATTTATCTGTACCATAGGTGCCTGCAAATCACATCACTTAAGATCTGTAACATTGTCTATCATTTGAGTCTGCAGGTCACACTGTTAATTATCTGTTTCATATCCTATAATATGTGCCTGTAGATCACATCTCCATATACCTCCACCATATGCTATTAAAGGTGCCTGCAGGTCACACTTTCATTTATATATTTGTATGGTAGGTGCCTGCAGGGCACATCACTATAGAAATTTGCACCATATAAATATATAAAAGGAAGATATGGTATGATTGCCAATGAGACAGCTCTCCACAATAGACCCAATGACACAGAAATTAACAACTATAGGTTCCCTTACGGCCTTTAACAATGAACAAAGCCCATACCGCACAGTCAGCTATATTAACGGTATAATTTAAGTACAAAATAATAAACGAAAAACAAATATGTAACACAGTAACAAATGACAACTACTGAAATACCGGTTCCTGACTTTGGACAGGGCAGGCACATACAGAATGTGGGTCGGGGTTAAACTAGTTTGAAGGCGCCAACCCTCCCCTAACATTGGACCGTGGTGTAACAGTAGAACATAAGAACAAACTATAAAAACCAGCTGAAAAAGGCTTAACTCATCAAATGGATAAAAATAGATATACATCTAACAAAACACAAAGTGGACGTGGATGGGTACTTGTACATGCAAATAACAAAAACAAAAACAAAAACAAAACACTAAGTATATATCTGACAGTACTCGCAGTTTTCATAGGTGCCTGTAGGTTATTTAAATTATGATCTGAAGCATAGCCTATCATAGCAGCCTGCAGGTCACACTGCCATTTATCTGAGTACCAAAGCCTATCATAAATGCATGCAGGTCACATCACCGTAGATCAAAGCCTATCATGGATGCCTGCAGGTCTCACAGCTTTTTAGCTGTACCATAGCCCATCATAGGTGCCTGCAGGTCACATCACCATAGATCTGCACTATAGTCTTTCATGGGTGCCTGCAGGTCACACTGCTATTTATCTGTACCTTAGCCTATTATAGGTGCCTGTAGGTCATACACCTTTTTATCTGCACCATAGCCTATCATAGGTGCCTGTAGGTCACACTTCTATTTATCTGTACCATAACCTTTTATATGTGCCTGCAGGTCACATCACCATAGATCTGCATTATAGTCTATCATAGTTGCCTGTAGGTCATACACCTTTTTATCTGCACCATAGCCTATCATAGGTGACTGCAGGTCCCACAGCATTTTATCTGTACCATAGTCTATATGTGACTGCAGGTCTTATAACTTTTTATCTGTGCCATAGTCTATCATAGGTGCCTTCAGGTCACACTGATATTTATCTGTTCTATAGTCTATCTCAGGTGCCTGCAGTTCACATTACCATAGCTATCATAGGTGTCTGCAGGTTACATCACCATAGATCTGCACTATAGTCTATCATGTGTGCCTGCAGGTCACACGGCTATTTATTTGCACCATAGCCTATCATAGGTGCCTGTAGATCATACACCATTTTATTTGCACCATAGTCTATCAGGTTTATCATAAGTGCCTGTAGGTCACACAGATTTTTGCATGTACCATATCTAATCATAGGTGCCAGTAGGTCACACCGTTTCTTTATGTACCATATCCTATCAATATCATAGTGTCTGCAGGTTTATTAAAGGTGTCTGTAGTCACACCGCTTTTTTGTGTTCCCTATCCTATCATATATATATAGGTGACTGCAGGTGACACTAAAATTTATCTGTACCATCATTGCCTTCAGGTCACACTTTTATTCATATGTAACATTAGCCTTTTGTAACTACCTGTAGGTACACTGATATGTATCTGTACCATAGCCCATCATATGAACCCGCAGGTCACGTCACCATAGATCTGTATCACAGGTGCATGCAGGTCTTAGCCTCATAGATCTTTATCAGAGCCCATCATAGGAGCCTGCAGGTCACACTGCTATGCATATGAAATAGCCTTTAATCGGTGCCTGCAGATAACACAGCTTTATTCTATACCATAGCCTATCATATGTGCCTGCAGGTCATACTGAGAGCCTGCAGATCCAATCACCATATAGATATGTATCATAGGTCCATGGAGGTTGAATCCAATAATACTATGTGAATAAATACCATGGTGACTTACAGGCACCTGTGATAGGAGAGAGAAAATAACAGGGTGACCTACAGACACCTATAATATGATATGGAAAATAACATGGTGACGTACAGGCACCTATGAAAAGATATGTAAAATAACAGGGTGACTAACAGGCCCCTCAAACATGATATCGATAAATACCATTGTGACCTATGATAGGATATGTAAAATAACAGGGTAACATACAGGCACCTATAATATTTCATGTTTAAATACCATGGTAACCTACGGGCATCTATGATAGGATATGTAAATTAATACGGTGACCTACATGCACCCATAATATGATATGGAAGAGAATAAGGTGACATACGGGCATCTATAATATGATATGGTAACGATAAAAAACAAATCAGTGTGACATACAGACACCTAGGATATGTATGGTACAGATCAATAACAGGGTGACCTACAGGCACTTTAGATAATTGAATAGGATATGGTAAAGATGAACAGGAATATAATCTTCAGCAACTTTGATAGGATGTGGTAAAGACTAATATTAGATTACCTACAAGCACTTTTGATAGGATATGGTACAGATCAACAACAAGATGACCTATATGCACTTTTGAAAGGGTATGATACAGATCAATAGCAATGTGACCTCTTGCACTTTTTATGAATTTACTGTTCGCAAAAGTATGAATTATTCGAAATACTTAGGATTTTCCTATCCCAGGCATAGATTAAATTAGCCGTATTTGGAATTTTGGGTCCTCAATGCTTTTCAACTTTGTACTTGTTTTGGCTTTCTAACTCTTTTGATCTGAGCGTCACTGATGAGTCTTATGTAGACGAAACGCGCGTCTGGCGTATCAAATTATTAGCCTGGTACCTTTGATAACTATTTGATATGATATGGTGCAGACCAATAGCAGGTACCTAGGATGACAATGGTACAGATCAATAGCAGTGTGACCTATATGCACCTTTTTAGGATATGGTACAAATCAACAACAGGGTGAACTACATGCTCCTCAGATAATTATGGTACAGATTAATAACAGGGTGAACTACAGGCACCACAGATAATTATGGTACAAATCAATAACGGTGAACTACAGGCACCGCAGATGGTTATAGTTCAGATCAATAATAGAGTGAACAACAGGCACCTCAGATAATTATGGTGCAGATCAATAACGGTGTACTACATGCACCTCAGATAATTATGGTACAGATCAATAGCAGGGTGAACTACATGCACCGCAAATGATCATGGTACAGATCAATAACAGGGTGAACTACAGGCACCGCAGATAATTATGGTACATATCAATAATAGAGTAAAAAATAGGCACCTCAGATGATTATAGTACAGATCAATAACGGTGAAATACAGGCACCTCAGATAATAACGGTTCAGATCAATAACGGTGAACAACATGCACCTCAGATAATTATGGTACAGATCACTAACGTTGAACTACAGACACCTCCGATAATTATGGTACAGATCACTAACGGTGAACTACAGGCACCTCCGATAATTATGGTACAGATCAATAACGGTGAACTAGAGGCACCACAGATAATTATGGTACAGATCAATAACAGGGTGAACTACAGGCACTGCAGATGATCATGGTACAGATAGATGAATAACAGGGGGAACTACAGGCACTGAAGATGATCATGGTACAGATCAATAACAGGGTGAACTACAGGCACCTCAGATAATTATGGTACAGATTAAAAACAGGGTGAACTACAGGCCCCGTAGATGATTATGGTACAAATCAATAACAGGGTGAACTACAAGCACCGCAGATGATTACGGTTCAGATTAATAACAGGGTGAACTACATGCACCTCAGATAATTATGGTACAGATTAATAACAGGGTGAACTACAGGCACCGCAGATAATTATAGTACAAATCAATAACGGTGAACTACATGCACCTCAGATAATTATGGTACAGATCAATAACAAGTTGAACTACAGGCACCGCAGATGATTATGGTACAGATCAATAACAGGGTGAAC